AAAATGCTAATATTTGCACAATATAATTTTTAAAAAAATCTAATTTTACTTAGATAAAATTTAAGTATTTTCAATAAATAAATTGTAATTATAAATCGTTTTTTTTAAAAAAAATTAAATTAAAAATAAAAATTTTATTTTTAAAATTATATAACTAGATTTAAAAAAATGAGATTAATTCTATTCCTATGCATCTTTGTTTATATCAAAGCCAATCGTACTCCAAGAGGTTTAAAGTAATTTTTTAATTATATATGTAATAAAATTGTATTTGATCGTATAATCTCATATTGGGTTTAAGGAATAGAATATCAGGTAGAAAAAAATAAGAAGTTTTTTTATAGGTCGGAAATAGAATAGATAGAGAAAAATAATTTGAATCTCCTATATTTTAAACTAATCTTGCCAACTAATATGCCGTGGGATATTTGTTTTTAATTATTCTCTAAATACAGTTGGTGAAAGATGGAATAACCTATTGTCCTTATCTATGGTGAAGTGTATGTAAGACAAAGTCATTGCGATTAGTGTAGAATGATATCCTTCGAAATAAATTCCTTTTTGGTTTATAAACGACGTGATTTATATGATGTTCAGTAATTGCATAAAGCATATCATTAGAAATTTTGTCAATTTGTCTGTTCAAAATAGCTTATCAACTTGTTTGTGACATTTAAAATATTCGAATAAAGCTTATTTTTGTCAATATTTATATTTTTTCATTTTAGGATCGCAATTTATATTGTAGCAAAGATATTAATTTTTTTAAATTAACGTGGAATATTTTATGACTTCTATAAACATCGTAAATTTTATTTAGCAGACTTAAATAGTCAATATATTCGAATTATTTTTTACAATCCATGTCGATATCGATGGGTTGAGTGAGGTGATTTTATCTTTAAAATACTGATACTTAATGCACACTTTTTGTATAATTAAGTGTAATAAAATTAATAAATTTTCTTTGTGCTGTAATTATCGGTATATTCTAGGTCATGTGTTGAATAACCGTAGAATTGCTGGCTAAGGGGAATATTTATGATAGACATTATAATATTAATATAGAAAAGAAGGAGAAAGTCTTTATAACAATGACATTTATATTTAATTTGTCACATTAAATAGTCACATGATTCAAACACCTGGAACTATAAATAATATCTAAATCACATATTGAATTTACTATAATGTAAATTAAACAATTTTTATTAGTTATAACGACTGAGTTCAAAAAACTATGTTGGGCGAAACATATTGATAATTATCCTAACTTTTTCGATATACGTATTACTAGAGATGTATTCGAGTGAGAATTTATTATTTTATGAAATCATGTACAAGCGTGCCATATAAGAATATTATTTAAATCTAAATTAGTTTGAAAATTATATCTTCTTTCTTTAAAAATTAAATATTATTTCTAAAAATAATAGACACAAGATTTAAGGTTTTTGGATTTATATTTTAGTAGAGGAGATAATAATTCAATTAATATTACCAACAAAACGTTGATTTTATTTGACGGGCTTCAATTATTAAACCTAGTGCGGTTGAACGAACTCAATTTAACATTAAACATTACAGCTAATGTGAGTAGTAATTATTATACATATAGTTCGAGATTGATGAAGGAAGGAAGGAATGAAGGAAGGAAGGAAGGAAGGAAGGAAGGAAGGAAGGAAGGAAGGAAGGAAGGAAGGAAGGAAGGAAGGAAGGAAGGAAGGAAGGAAGGAAGGAAGGAAGGAAGGAAGGAAGGAAGGAAGGAAGGAAGGAAGGAAGGAAGGAAGGAAGGAAGGAAGGAAGGAAGGAAGGAAGGAAGGAAGGAAGGAAGGAAGGAAGGAAGGAAGGAAGGAAGGAAGGAAGGAAGGAAGGAAGGAAGGAAGGAAGGAATGAAGTAAGGAAAGGAAGGAATGAAGTAAGGAAAGGAAGGAATGAAGTAAGGAAAGGAAGGAATGAAGTAAGGAAAGGAAGGAATGAAGTAAGGAAAGGAAGGAATTTAATGAAAAGTGGTGTTTAATAATTTTTTGTTTATATTTAAATTTATTTATGTAGCTTACAATAACCGTTAGGAATCAAATTGTATTGTTGAAATTAATACGTGGGAACTCTGCAAGTTTAACCACATACCAAAATTATTTGTTAAATCGATTATCATGGAGATTACCAACAGGGAATTTTTATCAATATCAATTTTCAGGTGGAATTATAAATATTTCTTGCATTGTTACACACTGCATTTAACTAAATTTATTATGATACAAATTATATTAATATTTTAATGATATATTGCACCATTCATTTTATTTAAAAAAATTTATATACTCCGAATAATAGTCACGGACCCTCAATTTCTTCAATATTAAGTAATACTTGATATGGTCATTTTCCTCATAATTTAGATTTATGTAAAGATGAAAAAGCTTGTAACGAAGAATACGTTTAGAAGGAAGGGTTTGCAGCCTGAAAAATATATAATTGCTAAATTAAAAATAATTAATATCATATATTAAAAATTAAGGATTATTTATTATTGTGTAGTCCATTCAATGCTATCCAAATTATTAAAAAAATCTAAAAAATATCAAAAAAAAAAATAAGTAAAAAAAGCAAAAATATTATATCTAAAAATAAAAAATGTTAAAAAGTTAACGTACTTCTCCAATTATGACACGTATTAATACGTATATTTTTTATAAGAAAATTATCTATAAAAAAAAATTTATTGTCTGTTGCAAAACAAAATTTCATAATTATGTACAAAATTTGTTTATTTTAATTTTTATTAATATGATAATTAATTGATAGAATTAATTTATAAGAATGTATTATTGTATATATTTAGTTAAGAACATTTAGTACAAACATTCGAATGGATATAACTATTTATTGCATATAAAATAACGACTATATATTAAATAAATACCCCAAAATGAATAAATATTTAAGTAAATAATTGTAAAAGGAACTAAATAATATACGAAAAAGGGGATTAAATATTTTCATAATATGTATATTGAAAAGACATTTTTTGAGGTGTGATCATTGTTAATGGGTTTAGAAAGCATGTGTGTAATATTATGTAAGAATTGAGGTCCATTGTATGACACAATGTACTTGGGTATTCCAAACCTAGCAATCTATTTTTTTAATCGTTTAATCATAGCATCCACAGAGGTATTCTGCATTAAATCAACTTTCTAACCATTTGGAGTAGGAATCGACACCAAGCCAATATCACGAATCCACTGGTCCAGCAAAATCAATATGGAATCGCTCCCAAGAATACTTACCTACAGTCCAAGAATACAAGTTACTTCTTGAATTCCAGGTCTATTTTCTGGCATGTAGAGAAGATTTTGATAATTTTTTCAATATCGCATCTAGGCCACCAACAATACAATATAAATTTACATTTTATTACATTTTCCCCAGGACCAGTATATCATTCATAACACTAAATTTCTTAATTTATTAGAAATAACCAATCTCCCATTCTATTCTATAATATCACGATCGACAGAAAGCTCTTACCGTCAATTTTAGAAAATATTATTTCTTTATCTTTATGACGATCAAAGTTTCGCCAACTTTGCTGAATGTGTATTGCTATTTTTTTTAAATATTACACCTTGCTTCGACTCTTTTCGTATAATATTTTCTGGCATTGCATATCATCCAAATTAATTCTTGGAATATTCAAAGCATGCATGTTTAGAATCTTGATTCTCTTCCGTGTCCAATATTGGAAGCCTTGATAATGCGTCGGCCATTATATTTTTAGTATCAGGTCTATCTATTGTAAAATCATAAGAAGCCCAGGACCATCGTGTCAAACGATGATTAGAAATTTTAGATAAATCGCGCTTCTCCCCATATAATCGCTCTAATGATTATGATCAGTTCGAAGTAAAAATTTTTTACCATAAATAAATGAAATTTTCAATACCAAATAAAATTCCTCGAGCTTCTTTATCAATCAAAGCGTAGTATTTCTCTGATTCTAATAATGTACGTGACGCGTACGAAATAGGTTTTATCCTTCCGTCTACTAATTGATGTAACAACACAGCCCCTAATCCTATAGGCAACTGCGCGATATACGGATTTAACGTTTCCCCGGAAGATAATTTTAACCTCATCAAAGGAATTTTGTTTTTTAGTCCACCGCCAAGGTACTTTTACACTCGTTAATCTATATAATAGCGTCGCTTTACAATGTAAATTACGAATAAAGCGTTTATAATAATTTACGAGTCCTAGAAAAGATCTAAGTTGTTGTATATTCTTAGATTTTGATGCATTTTGGATAGCCTTTACCTTTTCTGGATTAGGATATTACCAAATTTATCAATAATCACCTAAAAAAACGATTTTTGTAAAAATCTTACTTTCGCCAAATTCGCCTTAAGACCAGCCGTCTGAAATCTGTCTAAAACGATTTGTAAATTTTTTATGTGCTAAACATTGTCGACTAGAAATAATTACGTCATCTAAGTAGTCACCCATTTGGCAATCTTTTAGCAACTCATCCATATATCTCTAGAATACTTTCCAATTTAAAATACAATCGTCGGTAACGGAAACACCCCTATGAGTCTCACTTGTCACATCATATTTATTAATTACTTAGAATGTTCCATTCCTTTTTATAAATATATATAAATAACATTAAATAAAATTTATTACAAAAAACAACATATTATTTTATAGCTTATGTTTTTTTAAAAATACATTTTTAAAATTCAGAATATAATAAGGGGTTTCAATACAACTCAAAGTGACTGCATTTGATGCAAAATATTTTTTAACTAATTTAGCTAAAATAATTATAAAATGCAAAAATTCGGAGTTTCCATCATTTTCTAAGAATTATACTGAAAATAAATTTAATTGATCATTGTTACTAAGGCCATGTATATTTAAAAAATTACATAACACTATGAAGAATCAGGTGTTCTCAGTTTACCATCAATTCTTAATTCATCTGTTTGTTCGTAATGTCTTCAAAATTGCATAAATATGTTAGTAATTAATAGATAAATGAGGTATTGCTACATTATAAATAGGAAGAAGAAATACAAGCCCTTACTTTAATATATGGTGAAGATCTTAATGTTATTGATAAATCAAATAAGATATATTCGATAAAAATTATTTCAAATGAATATTCTGATATAGAATGTGATTTACAAGTAATTAAATGAATTATTTTTTTTTTACCTAATTTTTTTAGATTAAATTTATTGATGAATATCCTGAAAGTCTTCCACCAATTTTTCAAATCAAGTATATAATTGGAAATATTTTGATGATAATTAATAATTTAGCTGCAAAATTATTGAGCTTGATTTCCAAAAATTTGAAAAAGATTTAATTAACATATATAAGTTTGTAAAATACTTTAAAAAATTATAGTTTTTAGTGAAAATAAAGGTGAAAATATTATATTTTTATGGGTTGAAAAGGTAAGAGAAAATTTGCACTTATTAAAAAGTTCATTCAAAACTGTTCCCATCAATGATGCTGGTTTATCTACTCATGTATTATCAAATATTGATAATGACAAAATGTTAAAATGTAAGAAATATTCTGATGATAATCAAAATAAAGCTGAAATCTCCAATTTGAAATTGTCAAACAAATTTGATATAGAAATAATTACTGGCCTTCCAATTCTGGAAAGGAAAAGTACATTTCAGGCTCATATTGCAAGAGTGTTTAGTTTGTCTGATGTAATGATCAAAAATTATATAATGTTTACATGTCATTTTAAATTAGGTACAAAAATTTGTAACGCAATTGAAAATTATTAATAAAAAGGTAGACCAAGCTACTCACAATATTCTAGCCTATAGGATATTAAAAAATAACTCCCTAATAAAAAATGATAATGATGATAACATAGAATCTAAACCATTAAATAATTACATTATTCAAGATTATGATGATGATGGTGAAACTAATGCTGGCCACAGGCTACTCCATTTACTACAGCTTACGGAAGCTATTAATGTAGCTGTAATTGTGTCTCGGTGGTTTGGCGGCATTAAATTAGGCCCAGATAGATTTAAGTTTATAAATAATGCAGCTAGAGATTTGCTATCACAAAGTGGATATATTAACAGTAAAAATGAACAACTCAAAAAGGACAAATTAAATAAAAGGAAATAATACTCTTATCAATTTTTTTTTATTTATTTTGTAATAATTTATAATTTATATATATATTAAATCCAAATATTAATATCACTAATTTTTCAATAAATATATAATATTGAACAAGTTATTTATCATTATCATTGAACTTAAATATAAGATTTTTCCTAACTCAATTTTATAGATAAGCTTTGAGTTGTTATTTTAATCAAATGTAAGATAATATTTTACTATTAATTTAAAGATTTTTTAAATTAATTTTATTGTACATGCTAATAATAAAAGATAGATTAAACATGCTATTTTTATAAAGTTTTTCCTATCCTGTAGAATCCTAAACTGCACATAAATTTTTTTTTATATGCTTTTAATTTATTTGATTTTCTGGATTAAAAAACTTTCAGATATCTCTTAAGGGTACCAGGAATCTTTTTACACATAAATTTTCCTTAAAATTGAGCAGATGCCTACACAAGATTTGTTATGATGGTGGGGGCAGGGGCTGATTAAATTGTTTCCCAAAGTATTCTAGTAGTTATTAAAGTTGCAAATTAAGCCATCAACATGACTTCTTATGTATATTTTTATATTCTTGTTTAAAAAGTAAATGTTCATTTATTCAAGGTAATAATGGGTATAGTTGCCAAAATATATAATTATTATTTTCTTGAAAAACTTTTCACAATATTCTCAAATATAAAGAAGGCATTATCAAACAGAACAGCCATGCAAATAAATCATATTGCACTAAAGAAACTATTTTAATATATATAAGTTTATTATTGTTATTTTGTATAGGTTTATAAATTCATTGAGAAAATATAAAAATTAAAAATTTTTAAATGGCTTCAACATAGTGTCACTTTTTTAGAATATAACAAATGATAAAAGGTTTTTTTTAAAAAAAAAGGTATAGTCTTGATAAATTGGGCAACTGTCTTGGGCAAAAATCTTGGTCGCAACAGTACTCAAAGACCGGTACGAATGTTTATTAATTATACACGTAATTTATTGAACAATTATTTTATTAACTATAACTGTATTTACTTAAAATCTACTACTACTTCCAAAAGTGGTGGCAGGCAAATCACGAATCTAAAATTAAGTAATCCCCCCCCCCCGCCTTCCCATCCTAAATCAATAAATATGAAAATTTAAATGATTTTATTTTAGCCCAATAGAACAAACGGTAATTTATCGCCTATTTTATTAAAATTTATTACTTAAAAAAAACCATGGGCCTCAGAGTCGGATACTTTTCCAACTAGTGTAATTTTTGTTATATTAGACAAAAAAAATATTTAAAATATTTAGGCATACATAACTATGGTTCCTTTTTTGAAAATTCAATCAACCCCAATTGATGTCTATCTTAGTTACCTCGGATCTGTGAGTAGTGTTGTTAAACAGCTCGTTTTGAGCCGATTTTAACAAAAACTAACTCAATATTTTATCCAGAAAAATATTACGCAAGCCTGAAGATTTTGCTCATAGAAGGACCAAAGGTCTATACATATATTTTCGAAATCTCCAGGAGGTAATATTTTTCTAGCTAAAATATTGAGTTAGCCGTTTTAAAAAATAGGCTGTTAACGAGCCGTGTAACAACAATAGAATTGAGAGCCTTCTTTTCCTTTTTTTAAAAAAAAATTTTATTGATTTCATCCCCGTTTTATATGTGTTTTTTTTAAATTTAATAGCGTTTTAATGTTTTTTATAATTTATATAGGAGATCAAATGAACCCTTAATTGGAGATCAAAATACATACAATTAATGATAATCTTAAGACAATATATCAAATGGAAAAACATACTAAAAATAATAATCTCATTATTAAACATGGTCCCAGAGATGCTATGTGCCCAGCCAAAATTAGAGATCAAAATGCATAAAATTTATAACTCCTAATTACAATGATATTCTTAAAACAACAAAACCCTTATCAAATGGAAAATCTTCTTATACTGTTTTAGATGCTATGTGCCCAGGTATAAATAAACCTTTAGCTACCTTATTGGAACAATTACATCTTAACATTATACTAAGTACCTCTTTACCGCCTTTGATTTCAATTCTAAATGATTACATTTCATCTCAATAAGATTATGATACCTCCAATTTATTAATCTACATTAAAAATTTAGTATTCCAGATTTAAATTATCCCAAATAACTTCCAATATTGGATCTACAATTTCACAGATTCCTAAAGCAAATTTTAAAACGATTTACCCTGCCTTCATCATACTTAATTTATATATTTATCTACCTTTGACACTTCTCCTTATACAATATATATCCTGCATAAGTTATTCTAAATTTCAAATTATAAATATATATCAAATTTTATTTCATTTTGATGACCTAGATATCTTCCTGTTTTGATAAGAGGGTTGGCAAATAAAAATTCAAATGCATAAAATATATGCCATATGCAATAAATCTACAAACATAACCAAAGCTAGGAAGTTTCAAATTCATGGTCCTCCATCCTCTAGATGTCGAGATTCATGGCTACCAAGTATAAGACCTACTGATCCTCCATTCAGTTTATTAAATTAGCAAGCACACCCTCCGACTTACCTCCAAGTCAACAAACCCATCCTACAATCATGGGATAGTGAATTTTTATCACTGCCCAACCATCCCACCATATCCAGTATACCACGGGGTGCACGTAAATCTTGTGGAATCCTTCAACAAATTACATTCAACTGTAAATAATCCTGGAAACCTAATGGAGAAATTTACTACGCTTCACCAATTTCACTCTCAAAATTCCCCATAATAAAATCTAATCATTAAAACATCAATATCTCACTTCAATCCTGAATCCAATCCACTCCCTATTGCTCGTAAGGCCATAATAGTTTCAAATAAAATAAATAGCCTTAACATAAACTCAGTCCTTCTTTCCATGACTTCTGAAGACTCCTTAGCTACCAACGAGTCCACTCTAGAAGCTTTTTTAAAACACAATATATGTGATTTAGAATTCGTTTACTCAAGCAAAAACAATCATAGCTCCTGAAATCAACATTAACGGGACAATTAAAACCGTAAGATCTTTTAAAAAGACTCTTCAGGAGACCTTGATGGCATTCGTGCCATCATCATCCAAGACATAGCCCAACATTCCATGTAAAGCCCTTTTACAGAACCTTACCAGGTTATTAAATAGAATTCTTAATGGGCCCCTTCATCTATCATTTTTATTTTCTATCTTCTTTGGCGCCCGTCTAATAACCCTCAAAAAAGGATGGAGGTATTCGCTTAATTGCTATTGGGATTCACAAAATAATCTAGAAATTTAATCTAAATCTATCCTTACCTTAAATTCATCTAGATGATGGCATTGTCTCGGGCAACCTTTCCACAATCTTGTCCATTCCCTCCATCATCGAGAATCTCTCACATATTTCAGGACTATCACTCAATCTCCCAAGAGCGAGATTTGTTCCTATATCCTACATCCATTCCTTTAGACATGACATACTACGTCATCAACAAAGACAAGATGACACATCTGGGATCACCGACAGGGGGTGAAAGACGAACGAAACTTTTTAAACAATTTAATTACCTCCCCGCCCATTAATCTTTTTTTTAATAAAAAACTATTTCAATATATTTAAAATCCTCTTCGATCTTCAAATGCCTTGTTTCTCATGACACCCAAATCAAGGGCCTCCTTGAAAATATTTTACTTAAAATTTTTCAATTCATCCTGGCTTCAGACCACCCTCCACAGAAGTCTGATGGTATTGTTATCCGATCCCTGATACAACTTTCCCTCAGTCTTTATCTCACCTTATTTGGCTGCTCAATCTATTATCAAAAATGGATCCATTCCTTTAGACCCTGACTTTTCTCAGGCCCTTACCTTTTGGGACAGCAATAGCCCATCCACTCTTTGTCGTCCTGCCTCCATCATTAAAAAAACTGGGATGCTCCTCTGATCGCCCCTTCTGTTGAATGCCTATTTTCGAACAGGCACTTTGAGGACAATCCCAATAACTTAGTATTACATACAAACTTAGGTTACGAATGATTGAAAGCCATTCCCAGTTCCAATCTTCCTTCATGACTGGCGAACAGCTACGGATTTCCATAGCCCTCCGCCTTGGCTGTAATGCAGTAGTTCCCTCCATTTGTATTGACTATGGTTAGCTCATTGAATCGAAAGCTTACCCCCCCCCCCCTGCACTGCAAGTTCTCCCATAGACGACAACCTCATCATAAATCTTTCAACATTCCCCTAGCTGTCCTTAAAAGTTAATATTCCATCCACTCTCAAACTAGTGGGCCTCTCAAACGAAAACGCCATAGTCCCGATGATTCCTCATTCCCTGGACTAATGATCTTCCGCTCGCTTGGGACTATACCTGTGTCAATTTTGCAGCAAAGTACAACCTCTCATTTTCTGCCATCGAAGAAGCAGAAATTTAAAAAAAAACAAATACATTGGCCTCACCAACACTCTGTCCATACCAATATTCTGTTTGGAAGTGAGGCCCTCAATTTCATAAAAATCCTAGGAAAAAAATGGAAAGATCTCAGGGGACTTCAATAAAGGATTTTACCTTCGTTAGCAGATTTCCTTGTAAATCTGCCGGTCCCATTTTTTAAGTATTCACTCTTTTCTAGTGTAATATTATATCCTTTTTTAAAATATTTTTTTTCTCTTAGTTCTTTTTTACGTTTTTTTTTCATAGATATATACATATATTTTTTGAATCTAATTTTTTAATATATCCTCCCTCATGTTCTTTAATATATATTTTTAATTCAATAGTGCATATATCCTAAAAATATATAATTATTTAATATTTTACTACATCGCATCTTCCGATCCTAATTTTTAAAAACAATTAAGTCCATGAGAATGTCAGTTTAAATAAATAAAGATAATTTTAAAAAAAAACATTCTTTACTAATTACGTAATTTATTTATATGTAAAATTATACAAAATCATTCGTATAATATATCTGTTCTTTCTAAAAAGCATTAAATTCGTTAGATTTTTTTAATTGTATGAATCACGGCTCTAAAAGAATATTTTTTACGTAAGTAATCCCCAACTTTGCGGATCTCTTGCAGTCTGTCCCAAATTTTTTAAAAAATTTATGCCCGTATTTTTTTTAGCCCGGTCCGGGTTTTATATTTTCATGCCCGGCCCGGATTTTTTAAAAATACTAGCTAATGGCGATTTAAAATATATTTTTTTAAATATTTAAAATTCGGCCAGACCCGCGTGCCCGGGTTTAAAGCCGAACCCAGTCTTTGATGTACAGTATAGGATAGCTGAGAAAAAAAATGATAATTTTACCAGTAATAATTTATTTTAAACATACGTCAAAAAATAAATACAATAATTAAAATACTTTTTTTGTATATAATAATTATATTTGAAAAAAAATTGATTATTGTAAAATAATTTATAAAGTATACTTGTATCAAAATAGTAAATATTATAAAAAAAAGTTTGTATAAAAATTGCATGGTTTTAAAAACAAATTTTTTATATACAAAAAAAATATTAAAGCTTATATATAATATTGTAGTTTTTTAAAAAAATATATATATTATATCACACAATAATACGGTTATTTCATTTTTAAAAAACATGCAGCCAGGTGATTGCTGCTATTCTGGGCCAGCTTTATTAATTTTTATTAATATCTCAAATATTTAAGTAGAATATAAAAAGGGTTTTTTGGAGGGCAAAAAAAGTTCAATATTTAATATATATATATTATAATAATAAATTTTAGAATTTTTTTTATGGATTTTAAGAGTATAGTTAGATATAATAATATAAAAGCTTCTTGAGATCTTTATTAGGGCTGTGGCTTAAATATTAAATTAAATAAGGTTTCGTAACTATAACGAAGAAAAAATAAGCGATTTATAATATAAAAACGTTTCCCAAACATAGTTCTAAAAATTTTTATAAATTTCAAAATATTAACATATAATTTTTGATTAAAATTTAAAAACTTTTAAAAGTTTTTTTTATTTTGCCTTATAAAATATTAAAATAATAATCGAAATCTTACTGTTTATAAATATTAATGAATAAATGCAAAGGATAGATAAAAAATTTCAGTTCAAATCAGGAATTTAGGATCATCTGAAAAGATGAAAAAAAATTGATATAAATTTTATTAGACATTTTTTTATGGTTCAAATGAAATTGTTATTTTTTAAGGAAAAGAATTGGATCAAAAAGAAAGAAGTTATTACAAATAAAAAGGAAAAATTTTAAAATTTTGTCCTGTCAATCAATGGTAGTTTCGTAGGGGTTATGATTAATGTTCATGATCTTAAATTTACTAGAATAAGTGTAATTCGAATCAATTACGTTATTCCTACTATTATAGGAACATGGAAAATTATGCTGAGCGGTTGAATTAGGGAGGGATAACAGTTCGTGATTAGGCTGTATTATGCCTTCTAAAAAAAATTAACAATATAATTACATGTTAATAAATATTATATATAACGATAAAATAGAGAAGAATTTCTGATTCTGATGTTAATCGGTTAATGATGCTTACTACCTTAAGGTACTACCTAGTGTTGTTAAACGGCTCGATTTGAGCCTATTTTTAAAAACGGCTAACTCAATAATTTAGACAAATAAATATTGTCTAAGCCTCGAAATTTCGTTAGTAGATGTTCAAACCTTTGTGCCATCTATGAGCAAAATCTTAAGACTTGCATAATATTTTTTCTAATAGAACATTGAGTTAGCCGTTTTTAAAAATTGACTCAAATTGAGCTGTTTAACAACACTAGTACTACCACTCAAATTTGAGTTTTGTTATTTTTCATTTGGATAGGCACTACCAAATATATTTATAATATATATTTGAAAAATCGTGATTTTTGGAAAGCCTCTATGTAGTAGACAAGAGCTTTGCTTACTGATCCGATGGTCGCGGGTTCGAATCCCGGGAATGGTCATGTTTTTTTTCTTAATCTAACTTGGTGGTTCCATCCCTTGGGGAATGATATATAGAAGGCCGGACTCGTATGTATTTAAATAAATTGATTTTTTATTAAATTTTTATTAATTTGTAAAAATTTTAACAAATTATATTATTTATTTATTTTTAAAATAATTAAATAATAAGGGTCTTATTTATTACATTTTAATAAATTTTGGTCGGTATTTAGCAAATTGGTTGGTATTTAGATTCACTTGGTAGTAAGCATCATTAACCATGTTAATCCATTATCGATGGTAATTAAAGATATTCAGAAATAAATAATTTATATTAAAGATAGTTGGTTAAATATAAAAATCTATTTTACCTTTCCAAACTTTCAGCAGAGCTTCGCAAACGAATTTATATTGTGACTGTAATTACGAAATTTTTAAAAAAATCATATAATCAATTATATGTATAACGTATACTCTACGAAGTGTCTAATATGCTATCTTAGTAAACATTCCTTAGCCTAAATTTCCCCTTAAACTTTCTCTTTATTCGTAATTGTCCATATTCATAGATAGTCTTTAAAAACCATTGCGAATTAAAAAAGGGGAATGGATTTGCAGCCTAAACGATTCTTTATTTCATTAAAAACAAATAATATCTCATTGAGTCATTGAGTGAAATTTTTTTTAACCAAGCCTATTTTTCTAAAAAACAGATCAAGGGATGTGGGAGGGGGGGGGGGGTATTCTTATTTTACAAATTACAATTCAAAAAATATTTATTATATAACCGTGGTTTGTATAAGCATGCATCTTTGATCTCTCATAACTTTCACGATTTCCCAAGCATATACCGGTTGATAAGCTTCGATTAAACTCATACCAGTTTCCATCAGGATAAGGACACCTGTTCTACCTATTCCGGCACTATTCCGTTAAGACGAATATAAATATGGTGAATTTCATAGCAAATCAACAAAAAAAAGTCGATTTTCAACCCTACCCCCCTCAATTTTTTTTAAAATTTCTATAATGGTAGTATATACTATAAGAAAAAATAAAATTTTACTTCCTTACACCACTTGCTTGCTAAGATATGGGGGTTTAAAGAGCGGGAAAATGTTATATTTTTGACAAAATACACTTAATTAATTTAAAAATAACTCAAGAAATAATTAATTTAGAGTAATAATTTAAATTTTATTATATAGCTAATAATAGATCTTTAATATGGTATATAAATGTGATAGAAACCCGATTAACACCAAAAACCAGAAGTACAAAACCGGAAATGGCCTAAGAAAAAAGGAGATATTTTTCCTGTAGATGTATACCAGACTAGAGGTCTGCAATAGGCCGGTTTTTATCCAATAAGTCCGCCTACTCGTTGTTTTGAAAATTATTTAACCCGCCCAGCCGCTCACTTATAATTTTTTTTAAAAAAATTTACCAGCCCGCCCATTTATCTATGAATTTTGTTTAACCCGTCTATTATTTTAATGGCTGGTTAGGCTCTATATATTTATTTGAAAATATTTTTAATTGAATATAATATGCAATATAATGATATAAAACTATTATTTTTAATAAATGAAAGTCTGTTCTGTTCATTTCGCCTGAAAAATATCAAAAATTCACCCGCCCACGCCTGCCCATTGCTTTCAAATTTTTTAACCAGCTACCCGCCCAACCCGACTATGCCCATTCAAAGTATGGGAGGGCGAAAAACACGCCCAATGCAGACCTCTATACAAGACTGCTTATTTGCATAAAATCCTAGAGTGGGCTGAATGTGGGTCTAAGAATTGTGCCCCTTTATATGACTTAAATGATAAAAATTTAACATAAATATCATCATATTTAAATTTAATGGATATGTTATGGTATATTATATATTCCATAAGGATCATAGTAGTAATTTTTTTAAAATAAATTGTAAAAAAAACTGAAAAAAACGGTTTTTTTTTAATCACTATGAAAAAAATATATGAAATGAGTCATTTATTTCATTTAAAAACCTGCAATGAATGACAGCGGGCTCGCTAGAGCCCATTTTGAGTTTCCGAAAATGATTAACGAAACTGATAAAATCTGACGGGTCCTTGGGGGTGCCGTGATCGGGCCATTGCAAATATTGCATTTGGGTTACCTCTCTTTCTTCTCCCAACTTTTACGAGATAGGTGATATATTGTAAGTTTTTTTAAATTGTAATTTCAATTAGCATAAAATTAGATTTATAGATTATCTTTTGACATATGGCGCCAACATTTTCGAATCTATAATTTTAGAACAATAATGATTGGCGTCAATGCTTCTAGATATAAAATAAAAAGAAAGCTTAGATTTAACTAACAAAAAAAAATAATAATTACATGAGGCAGCCCTAACAACCTTTCGTTCACAGTTAGCGCAAATTCGCGGCAAGTATACAAAATATATAAATATAATTTTATTTTCATTTTTTGTATACTTCTACGCGAATTTACGCTAAACGCAGGGCATTTAAGCGAGAGGCGTGTGTAATATAATTTAAAAATTTGATTCTTGTTTATTTTTTCTTACCGCGGTATTGTGGATGCTGAACGTCCTTACGATGTAAAGAGGGCGATTGTCCATTTGGGAAAAATAAATATTTTCGTGCCCGCCTTCTTTCGAAGCAGCTGATTGACTAATTTTCAAATTTATATCCGCTAAGTTTAGGGTCGTAGCTCTTTCAATTTTAAATTAAATAAATTTATATTATTAAAAAAATGCTACATTTTAAATGAACAATACATTTTTTTTTAATAATCAATCTCAAAGACCCACATACGGGTTTGGGTTTAAATAAAATTTACATAAATTTTGAAAATAAGAACCCATCATTTCCTGTTTCGTCCTTGGTCTCGGGCCAATATCTATTGCACTTGACGCGTCCTTGTTCGACTTCAGTCGTCAACATGATTATCAAACTGCTTTGTTGCTCCCATATCATCTGAATTCCAAATTCGATGTTTTATTTAATATTTTTTTCCCTTTCTTTTCAATTTCAATACTTTAAAAAAAAAACTTTTCTATTGATTTAAAAAATTAAATCATAATATAAACGTAATAACGCCGAAATACATAATTCGAACAAAACATAGAAATAAGAAGAAAGAAACCTGCCAAAAATGAGCTATAGTTTGAGGCAGCGGACCTTGGGCAGCTATGTACCTATTGATTATACCGGTATTCGATATTTCCATCTATAAATTTTAAATGAAAATTATTTCTTTCATATTCATATTCTTCTGCTAACCAAACTCGAATAAAACAAACAAAAAAATTGTATATTCTTATATATAAAAAAAGAAAAGGCATAATATTAAAACTTTTTCTAACTATTCTAATAAAGAAATTCTTTTCATCGGCAAAAATAAATAAATAAAAAGAAAGAAATACTTATACGCGAAAAAAAAAAAATTATAGGAATATAGAAGGGAAAAAAAATCGGGCAAACGTTGATATAATTAGCGTTGATGTAGGATGTACCACAGGACGTGTCATTGATGAAGACCCTAGTCTGATCGTCTAAAAATAGAATAAAATAAAGTTTTCATTTAAAAAAAAAATACTTTTCTACCCCCCTCCCCCACACCTCCGCTTTTCGAGAGTATTGTTACCGATGGCAGATGTCAGTAAACTAGCGCTCCCGATTAAGATTTTAGCTAAAATAATATTATGTAAGCATAGAAAAGCACAATTTTTAGGCTTACATAATGTTATTTAGATTGTAATCTTAATCTGGCCGTTTTTTAAAATCGATCCGAATCGGACTTCGCTACGTAAAACAGTCCCGTACCAAAAATTTATTTTAAGCTCAATATATATACACTATATATTTTTTTTTAAAATGTGATTTATAGAAATCAAGATCAACGAAATAAATTATATCTTAAAAATAATTTATACCTTTAAAACAAACCACTAGAGTCAAATATCAGGCCTTCCAACAACCCCTAGCCTACATTAGGCATTGGATCTATATATAAATTCCCCTTATTTTAAGCATAGGCATGGAACTATTTGCCTACATAGTGTTCTGTAACAATAATCACATTCTTTACGGTAAAGATATATAGCGGTGGACGTTGTTAGTTTTTTTTTAAAGTGTATTTATTATAAAATATTGATAACGTCATAATTTATTCCTATAATGCAAAAATAAGCAATTGTTTTGAAGTGGCGTGGCTCATAGGTTAGACACCTATGACTGATAATTGCACCAAGTTGGTTTGATCCCAGCTCGATAGAGCCTTTTCTTCTGATCAATCCTCCTTGTCGAAAAGGTTAGGGTAAGAATTAAAGGGTAATAATAGGTGATGCGGGTAAGGTAGTCGTTGTTTAAACAACTCTCCAAATACTCTAATTTAATATTTTAAAAAATGGAATAATATTTACAAGGTGAGATGTCTTTATAACGATTTAAATGGGCGTTCTGCGGCAGCTTAGCCATTTTGGTAGTCAAGCCTGGCTTTCTCCTATATAATTGCTTTTTTTTAAAAAAAATATAATCAAATCTAAATTTTAAAATTAACATTAAAACCAAACCATTATATCTTTCAACCATTACACTAACATAAACTTAGTCCATTCCCTTTCTTTGTCCAAAACACAGGGATTTTTTAAAAAACTTAGAGTTCTTCTTAGATAGAGATGAGAGGAAGGTAGGAATTTAGCGAGATTTGATTAGGGAATAAACAGGATATTGTGCTGACAATTAAAATAGAAATGAATGTGTAGGGTTGTGGATGTATGCCTGACTATTTTCTTAAATGGACGATGGAAGATTTTTAAAGAAAAAATAATTTATGAAAAGCCTCCATAAACCTGAAACTGTTTGATCAGGACTCCGTCAACGAGTGAGCACTCCATGAGCTTCATAGATTCCCCTAGGCGGAACCGGGCGGGAATATTCTCAGAAACTTTCGAATATAGGTTGATATCGTTCTCTTCGATTACCCCGTTTTCAGGGTTGCCGTTTTTCTTGGTGATGATTCTGATCTCGGAACTGGTAGTTATTCGATCAACGTTATTACCGTTAAGAAGTTTAAGGGATGATTTGTCCGAATTTTCATTCGGAGGGCACGAAATATCCAGATCGTCTTCCAGGTCACCCACGTAAACTTTTAAGAGATTTCAACGGATATATTAGATGTAATTTTTTTTTAAAACGTAATCATACAAATTGTGAATGAGAATTAAATAGTGTTGTTAAATGGCTCATTTTGAGCTGAATTTTAAAAACGGCTAACTCAATATTTCATCCCGAATAATATTACGCAAGCCTGAAGATTTTGTCTATAGAAGAAACAAAGGTTTGGATATCTATTAACAAAACCTCGAAGCTTATGCAGTATTTTTCTGGCTAAAATATTGAGTTAGCCGTTTTTAAAAATCGGCTCAAAATGAGCCGTTTTACAACACTAGATTTAAAGCTGCATAAATAGGCGAAATGTAAATGAAATGACACAAAAAAAAGAAGGAAAAAATTAACAATGTACCAACTTTTCAAAGTAGATGGTGGGCTCAATTTATTTGATTAGGATTCAAAATAAATTTTGGTTATTTCAAGTTTGAATAATCCTTTGTTTTTTATTTGAATCATTACACCGTGATCTCTCATTTAAAAATGATAGAAATATATTTATTTTTTTCAAATGCGCTCCTAAACAACTTTTAAAAATGGACATAGAACACTTTAATATTCAACAGAAGATTTAAAATCGAAAGAAAGCAATATAGATTATAATCATATGATATAAGTTAATTGGATGAAATAAAAAAAATAGGCGTTTATATAGCTGACAACTCGTGTTGTTAACTCAATATTTTAGCAAGAACAATATTGCCTAAGCCTGAGATTTCGATAATATATGATCAGACCTTTGTTCCTTCTATGAACAAAATCTTCAGGCTTGCATAATATTTTTATGGATGAAATAATGAGTGTGCCGTTTTTAAAAATTGACTTAAAACGAGCCGTATAACAACACTACTGACAACTCGCCTTTTTTCACCATAAATAAAAAAAACTCATTATATAATCATACCATTCGGTATAACCACGATATTGAGTCTCCGGTTGGGGGAGTTAACGATGAGATTTATAACTTGTTCGTGTGTCAGACCATTAACGGATTGCCGGTTTATGTAAACGATCTTGAAAAAGGTGTTAAGACGAAATATTATTAATGATGTATTTATTTTCCTGGACATTCATTTTTAAAAAAAAAAAAATTATGTTTAAGGTTATAGGAAGGAAACTGCAGTTAAACCTTTTCGCGGATGGATGGGATATAATTAAGTTTAGGGTGGGTGTTATTTTGTGACCTACCCCATATATTAAGGCCAAGCTGTTATGTTGTGGTAGGTTAAGAAGAAGACAAAAAAAAAGATATAAAATATTAATTACTTGGTCGCCCTCGTTGAGCCTAGGAAAGGCCTTATCGGCAGGAGTGTCCAAAGCTATTTTGGATACTATGACCGGTAGATCCTGATCGCTTCCACCCTTTATGAATTTTTTTTTATTATTATTGTAGTTTTTTTTTGAATTTTGATTGCGAATTAAAGGGAAATTTTTTTTTTGTAAAAAAAAATAATTCTTTTCTTGCTCTTCATTTGTTCATTTAAAAAATATCTTTCAATTTCTTCTTCCTTCTCCTTTTCCTTTGGATTGGGAGGGGTGGGGGGGGAGGTATGCGAGTTTAAAACCTTGATATTGAAACCGTATTTGCCGGTTTTATCGGCCACCATATTGATATCGACGTAATTGGCGGCGCAATTATTAGAGTCGTTGTAGCTCTGCGTGGATTTGACATTGTTGGAGTGGTACAATAACCGGCTTACGGTGTTGCCCGGAGATGAATTTTGAACCTTTTCAAGATGACGAATATTTTAATTTTTTTTTTAAAGTGGATGCCATAATAATTGAAGCTAATCATTTCCAAATACAAACAATACTCATTTTCGAAGAGGCATTTGAAAAGATAAAAAAAATTAAAGTAATTCTATTTATTAAGATTAATTTTCTAAAAAAAGAAGGACATATTTTATTTGATATATAAAAATTTAGAATAAATACGAGAATTCCATAATAATTTTATAATCATTTAAAATAATAAGTAATTAATTAAATATAACGTATATATTTGTATATCTTAACGTCGTAGAAATGTGCAATGCATTATTTTTTCGACTTTAAATAATTTTTCGAGCACTTTTTTTTTTAAATTTAAAAATCTTATTTTTACCGGAAAGGTATGAGCCATGTTTGGAATACCTACCTTATAAATTTCAGCCAATTTTCCCATGAACTTTTAAATTTAATAAAAATTATATTAAAATTTTAATATATTTTTTTTATATAAAATTATAAACGACTCAAAGGTTAACAATTTAATTGGATAAATTGCGAAATACATATTTGTAAAGGAGCGATAACTGTGAAAATGTTTATAAATAAAATAAAAAATTAAGATTTTAATTTAATGATTTTGGATACCTCATCCAAAAATGTAAGAACATCTTCGCTTTCTTCGTAAATATCTGTTAAATTTGAGATCATACGATCTTTTATCTCGTAGGAGTAATTAATGCGATTAACCGTTGATCCATTATTTATTTGAATAAGTTTTGGATCATTACTATTTTGATAATATATTAAAAATTTTATTAATGCTATAAATATTAAGATGAACGAAAGATATTTTTCGGTTCAGGGCATGGTGAAATCCCTCTAAATGATTATTGGTGCGGGGACCCAGTACTATACCTAAATTAACAATATATAAATTAGATATTGTATCACAAGGTAATGATACCTATTGTATATGCTCTTTTGCCAAACAAAAATAAAGAGACATATACAAAGGTATTAAGAGTCCTTATAAAATATTTTGGTGATAACAATAATTGGTTTAGTCCATCATTGGCCCAGACAGATTTTGAAAACGCAACCATTTCTGCTCTTAATGACGTATTTCCGACAATGGCAATAAAAGGTTCATGTAGTTTAATATATTTTATACATATATTTAGGTTAATATTTTCATTTTTCAAAAGCTTTATGGCGAAAATGCCAAACATTGGGATTATCAGCATCGTACATGGGGCATTCGGATATACATAAGTCCGAAGAATGAGCACACTCCCATTCTGTAGGGAAAAACATGTGGCAATAGTACGTGATACTTGCTATCAAATGGCTGCTAACAACACTTTGTTACTAAGTTTTATGCAATATATGGATACAACTTGGCTCGGAGAGACCACTATTTCCTTATAAAATATGGTCAAGGTATAAAAGATGTTAAATTATATAATATCTAATTTATATATTGTTAATTTAGGTATAGAGTACTGGGTCCCCGCACCAATAATCAATTAGAGGGATTTCATCATGCCCTGAACCGAAAAATATCTTACGCTCATCCTAATATTTATACATTAATAAAATTTTTAATAAACTATCAAAATAGTAATGATCTAAAACTTATTCAAATAAATAATGGATCAACGGTTAATATCATTAATTACTCCTACGAGATAAAAGATCGTATGATCTCAAATTTAACAGATATTTACGAAGAAATCGAAAATGTTCTTAAATTTTTGGATGAGGCTTCCAAAATCATAAAATTAAAATCTTAATTTTTTATTTTATTTAGATACATTTTCACAGTTATTATCGCTCCTTTACAAATATGTATTTCGCAATTTATCCAATTAAATATTTTTTATTATAATTACATGAAATTTAAAAAATTAATCAAAATCTATGCATATAATTTTAATGTAAATATTCCATTCGCTTTTATTTTACAGATATATTTTTTATATGATTTTTTAAATAAATTATTTATTTTGTTATATTACATTATATATAATCGCTATATTACTATTGGAATAATTTTATATATATTTAATTTAATATGCAATATGAATTATGTCTATTCGATTTTTATATTTTATGATGGCATATTATATCATGATTGGGTTATTAATATTATATATTATTCAGTGTAAATATAAATGATTAATCCTTCTTTGCAATGTATAAATACTTAAGATAAATAATTTATTAATATATATAGAAGGCCTTAACATTAAAAATTAAAAATCGAGAGCCTATTATTTTGATAGGGACACATATCAAAAAAAGTGAATGTAGAGATATATTTAATACTGCCTTTTTAATTCTAGATTTTTCTCAACATAATAGAATGAAATATTTGAAAAAACTAAAACAACACTTGCTTTATTGAATGTTTAGGCTAGTGATAAAAGATATAGATTAGATTAAAAATATATGGAACAAAATGATATTAAGAATAATTTTAAGAAATTATTTTTATTATACATTTTAAAAAATGAATATTAAACATTAAAAAATACTTAATATTTACCATATATAACAATCAAAATAATAATATTTATTAATAGAATTCATAACTTTTTTAGTGGAGTTATAAATTATGGGAACATTTTTATCATATTTTTTTTCGCTCTTTCGTACTTAACTCCAGCAAAATTGTAAATAATTCATAAGATAGGGGTTTCCAAACATGATGGAATATATTTCCGGTAAAATCCGATTTTTAAATTTAAAAAAACGCGCTCAAAAAATGATTTAAGGTTGTAAAAATAAGAAATTGCTGAAAAAATAGATTGACGCTAACGTATACAAAATTCATTTTATACCAAATTTTGTAGATTTATTTATATAAATGTATTAATAAATCGAAATCTGTTGCGCATGCTCGTGGCCTATAAGGAGTGAGCGTGTGACAGATTTGTAAATTATTACGTAAACATTTTTTATTAAGACTGCCAGTCACGTTGATGATGCAACGTGATTGGTAAAAATATTAATTTAAAAAAAAATTCCAATAATTTTAAAATTATTATGGAATTTTTGTATCATTTTTTTTATTTACAAAATTATCCTAAATTTTTATATATCAATGTGTATCTTATTCCTGTGATTTGGAAATTAACCAAAATCAAGAGATATTATTTTAACCCAAATTATAAAAGGCTATCTTAAATGGAAACGTAAACAAAATATAGTTTTTAAAATTAAAAAAATGGCGCCTTTTTGTAAAAAAAACAGCCTCTCAAGTTGCGGCGCGCGAATTTATTTATTTTTTAGCGGTATTTATATACCTGCTCAGTCATTTTTTTTGGTTTTCGTCTTTCCAGGCTAAGATTTTGATCGAAACGTTTTTTCTCTAGCGTGGGATATTCGCTACGACCGATTTTGAAGTAATCTATGTCGCCGTTTTGGGTGATCCTATTAATTTTTAAGATAAATTCATTTTTAAATATAAAATATGATTCTTTTAGTTTTATATACCTAAAAAAAAAGATACTAATTTATTCGTTATTCGACTCGCAATTTAGGAATAATAAAATTGATAGTCAAAATAATTTTATATCCGTTATTAAATCGAATTATTAAGTGACACGTTTCAAAGTAAATTCGTTCCCTTTCCCTTTTCCCCAAATAACTCCCCTTCAGGGTTGTTGTATTTTTTTGTACTGGGTTCCTTGGGTTATATTAGGTATTAGTGCTAGTAACTATATTAATTGTTGACTTTATCATGCTGTTATATTTTTTTGTACTGGGTTCCTTAGGTTATATTAGGTATCAGTGCTAGTTAACTATATTAATTGTTGACTTTATCATGCTGTTATATTTTTTTGTACTGGGTTCCATAGGTTATATTAGGTATCAGTGCTAGTTAACTATATTAATTGTTGACTTTATCATGCTGTTATATTTTTTTGTACTGGGTTCCATAGGTTATATTAGGTATCAGTGCTAGTTAACTATATTAATTGTTGACTTTATCATGCTGTTATATTTTTTTGTACTGGGTTCCATAGGTTATATTAGGTATCAGTGCTAGTTAACTATATTAATTGTTGACTTTATCATGCTGTTATATTTTTTTGTACTGGGTTCCTTGGGTTATATTAGGTATCAGTGCTAGTTAACTATATTAATTGTTGACTTTATCATTGACTATAGGACACCCTTGGAGACTCTGAAAGATATAGATGGAAACTTTTGCCATATACTAAAAAAAAGAATTAGGAATGGAAAAATCCATAATTTATAAATAGATTGTCGCCAATTAGATATATGCAAAGCCAAATCCATTAAGAATTTTTGTAAAAGTTTTCGGGTTCGGTAGAAAATATATATTTTTTAAATTTGCCCGCTGGCGGGTCTTGCAAAAATCTCTGGTATGAATAATGGATTATTCGATTTAAATTTTCGAATCAAATCTATTACGAATGGCCCAATTATTAGTTTCGTGTTTTTTTTTGGTCTAGCCTAAAAAGCTAGCTAACTGATTTGATTAAAAAGACACTTTTACATAAATAGAAATATATCCTTGTAAATATTAGCCACGTGACAGAATCCATATTAAAATGGCGTATCTTTGCGCGTGAGCAATGTTCAAAAGTATCCATTCATAATTTATATGATTCGATAAATTAAGAGATAAACATCTTTAAAATACGTCCTATTATTATAATGTGCGCTGGCGCTTTTACGTTGTCCCGTGACCAAACCGTCAATTAGTGGAAGTAGTAGCAAGGAATTAAAAACAAGTAATCTGTCAAGTATTATAGGTAAAGTGAAAAAGTGGGGAACAGTGTTATGTCATTTCTGTATTAGTTTTGTTATTAGTTTCTTATTAAGACAGTTGTGAAAATATTCTTAGTAAAGTTCACTGTGGGACAGACAGTGTGGGCAAGAGTATATGGGGAAAGGAAGAAATGGCAGTCCGGAGTAGTGATTGAAAATGTGGGGAAGAAGTTGAGTAGGGTCCGTTTTCAAGGAGGCAATGTGGGAATGGGGCATCAAGACCAATTACGTAGAGGGGTAGACCAAAAGCAGCAATAGGGTAAAAGCCGGATGTAAATAGTAAAAATTTTCAAATGGGGGTAGTTTAAAGAAATGGCAGGATATTGATGGCGAGGATCGAATGAACGATGGAATAATATAAATGTTGAAGGGATATTATAAAAGAAGAAGCGGCTGTCAAGTAGGATACATGGAATAATTAGAATGTTGAAGGAATATTATAAGGATGCAGGATACTGGTGACGAGGATCGAACAATGGTGGAAGTTGAAAGGGAGGCACATGAAGGATGTTGGTGTTGTATTCGGTATTGGAGGATAAAAGAAAAGGGAACAACTGGGGGGGGGGGGGGGTTATGTTGTAAAAGGAATAATAATTTTAATATGGCATTTAATTATAACATTGATAAAAGTTTTAATTTATAAAAAAGAAGAGTATATTTTTTTTTAATTATAAGAGTAAAAGTTGTTGTTAATTTGTGTTATCTATTATTATTATTAAAAGTGTTGTTGGTTTATGAAAAGGAAAATAAAAATATTAAAAGAAAAGTTTCAAAGAAAAAACGAATAAACAAGGTTAAGTAAAATAGTTATTTTATGTTTTTATAAAAGAAAAAAAATAATTGAGAATTAACAGGGAAATAAAGTTGGGCAATAGAGTAATATAAAAAAGAAAAATAAGTGATAAGCGGAGTAAAAATTGAAAGAATTGGCAGGAGTAGAAAGCTGAATGATTTATATGTAGCATAAGAAAGTTTGGAAACAAATGATGAAAATTTTAATAAATTAAGAGAAAAAAAAAGAGAGAAAAATTATATAGAAACATTTTCTTTCAAACGGAATTTATATTTAGTGTAGAGAAACATTTTCTTTCAAACGGAATTCGTATTATTATGACGATTGTGACAACGTAAGCCCGTTGTCAGTCATAATTATAAATTATCGCCTCATAATCACTTTATACAATAATCAACTTTTTAAAATCTAAAAATATATAAAACGCGATTATCTCACAACAATTATGACTCAACTAGAACATGAGCTATTGCGGTAAAGGATCGATTATTTTTTATTTACCAAATGGAATTAAATAACTTTCTTTCGGAATTATCATCAAAACTATTCTATTTTTTTACAATGATTATAAACAGCCTCTAAAATCCAAATTAATCGCGCTCCGCTTATTTGGAGACGCAATATTTTGTGTAATTAATCCTAAGGTACCATTTTTTTTTAAAAAAAGGCGCCTTTAAATTTTGAAAAACAAAAAATATAAAATAAAATTCCACTGTAAACCTGGAATCGCAATCAATTTTAGAGGTGTCCCCATTGACTCCGCGATTACTTTCGACATTCTTCTTATCGTATAAGTTGAAACTTATTTTTTGTATTTTTAGAGAAGTGTTAACAAATTCGTGAAATTTAGAGAAGTAAAAAAAAATGAATAAAACCTTCTCCGATCTGTCCACCTCCTATCCTTGGCATTGCTTACATAACGCATAGATTTTGGTCGGTCATTCGTTTCAATTGTCCCTGGTCCAGAAAAGTTTAGTGCTCCCGTGAGCCGAATTTCCCCGTTTACTCGCTACAGTTATTTATCAAAAAAAATATGAACATTATAGGTGACGGTAATATTAACGCAACATAGTCAAATATGTCAAAATTAACGATTTTCTAAAATTTGATATATAAATTAAAATTTGAGAATATTTAATTAAAAGAGATTAAAAATAATTACTATTTTACTTATTAAAAAAAAAAAAATTTTACCTTTCAAAATTAAAAAAAAAAAATTAATTTAGCTTTATCTGAAAATTTTTTCTAGTTATATCTCGAGAAGGGATTAATATCAGTACTCGAAATTTTATAGTATAGCATTCTTTCTTTACATTATGGCGCAATTTGGAAAACTGATGTTATAAATTGTTTGAGATATGATAAAAATATGTTGCGTTGCATATATACAACATGGGTTAACCATAACTCCCCAGTCTTACAATTTAATCCCTATCTTAGATAAGCTATATTTGGAATGGAATTTACCATTTCGTACACTATCTCATAAGAGGAAGGGAAAATAAATTTATAAGACTCCAATATCTAAAGGGGTTCGTGAAAAATGCTCCCAAAAGGGGGAAAAAAAATCCAATCATGGGATTAAGTTGTTATCAATCACTAATTAAAGCTATTTACAAAACTTGGGCGAAATTCGCAAGAAATGTAAATTTTATATGATTTTTTTGGCTTTGTATTAATGTGCCATGTTTGGGTTTAAACGCTACGTATAAACCATTAAAACAGTTAATTTTAATCATTACACGCGATATACGAAATAAAATTATAGATATCAAAAACGTGTACAATGTTATTAAATATTCCAATAGATAATACATTATCGTCAGCTTTGGGGCTGTGTGGTTGTTGTTCGCCGTTGTTAGTGGAGGGAAGAGTTGTAGCGAATTTTAGGAGACCGTGGGTAGGTCTTTCCTTGTTACTGTTTTTAACCTTTTTCATTTCCGGGATATTTTTAGACAATAATTTTTTGATCGCAATTTCTGAATATATTTATTTTATTTATTTATTTAAAAAAAAAATGTAAAATAAGTTTTTTTAAAAAAATGAAAATTTATACTTATTAAATATTATTATTTTTTTTAATATATATATATAATTTATATGCTTCTTTGATTTTCAAGGGTAGAGTAGATAGGTTCAATTATAAAACAAATTATTTCATAATTTATGTATATATATGATCAATCCAATTCAATTAAATATTGGATTTATAACTTCTTATTAAAATATATAGATGTCTTTGTTTCTGAAAGATAGTGATTTTTTTCGATGAGGTTACTATAGAAAATGGATGCTGTATTCTTTATATGTTTCTGAAAGATGGCACAATTGGACACATTAGAATGCCACTATTCATAATCTATATTTCGATCGTTAAATGGTAGAATGAATAATATGATCATCTCGAATTAGGTTTTCCCCTTAGTTAGTGTAATGAATGAAAGGCAGGCCAAAACTTCAATGGGGCCCATAAAAGTAACAGACAATATCGTAATTAATATAAATTAAATAAAATAAAATGGAGTTTGTATGAGCATATAAAATGGAAACAAATACATGGAACTTACTACTAAAAAGTGGATAGAAATCTCCTGAGAGATCAAAATATTCATTATTTTTTTGAAAATTAAATATAGAGCTATCATAATATGTAATAACTTGTTTCCTGATTTTCCGAGAGTTTTGAATGGTCGTTCAACGTCGACAAATTTGTGTGGGATGAATTGGTGGATAGGTGGTTATGATCTATGATTTTAAAACAATTTTTTAAAACGGGTGTTAGACAAAAATAATTCAAAAGTGTTGTATTTAGTCATTTTACCTGTCGTACTGTCTTTCGGCATTTCATCCTTCGTGACAATGTATTTAGCTTTATTGGCGGCGGAAGACTTATCGTCTACCTTGGCTATGTCGTAATGCGTCTTGATTCGCGATGAGATAAAAGGGGAAGATAGGAGGGCCGGTATAAGGCTGGCCCTCCTCATGAACGGGTTCGTAGTCTTGGGGGGAGGAGGCTTATTATGAATATTATTGGGGGTGCCATTATCGCTGATTAATTCTGGAGAAACGGTACCAGATCTTGAAGACGAATTTTTGGAGGATTTAAATCTTTGATCCTTATTTTTGCTGGAGTTAAAGCTCTCAGTTCGGGAAGTATGATTATGGTGATTGTTAGGGAGCAGCAAAGTATGGTTTTGGTGATCGGAAGTAAGATGATGATTATGATGATGAGAGGTAGGTACCACCAACGAGGATACCGTGGCAGGAATTCTGGAAAGATTAAAATGATGATTTCCAACGCTGTTCCTATGATTGGTTTGGTTGGAGTGGGAGTTATGGTTGAAATGCGGTGGACGGACTGATGAAGATTTACCCGAATTGCTTGTAAGAAGAATAAAAATATATTTATAGTGAAGGAATATAAGGTTAATGAGTATAGTTTTGCCTATAAGTTCTTCTGAAACAATTGGAAAAATGGATGGTAATTTTTTTTTTATAAAATGTAAATAGGAATTTTGGGTAAAACAACTTTTCCATGATATTATCCTAACAAAAAATTAATAGAGGTAGGGCACGTATCTCTAACACTTAACCGGCTAAGATTTCAATCAATTGAGAAAAAGAAGGAAAAAAAATGGGCAAAAATTAATGGCATATAATAATACCTAGACTGAAGATGCTTTCATAATGATGCATTTGATAGCGGTCGTTGAATGCAAATCAGCTGGACCCACCATTTTGGTAACCCGTATAAAAATTATTCTCATATTATAAAAACTACTTTTAAATTGATAACTCGCTTCCTTATTGTCTCGATAGATCAGGCAAATTTTTTAAAAAAAAGTTTGCGCCAGACTCAGGAATAAATTGGCCTCTTGTTTAAAAATTTTTCAATAATGATATGGGTAACCAAAATGGCGTCTCCAGCTGTTTTTCATTGACGTATACACTTTTAATGGATGCATCGTCAGTCTAGGTATTATTAAATTATCTGTCATTGGCAAAAATATGAACGAAAATATTAACGTTAACGAATTCAAATCTTAAATTACCGGGTAAATATACGATCGATTTTGATTCTCTTTTTGTATTCTAAAATCGTCTGATGTTCGGTTCTTCCACTAGTAAAATATATAAAAAAAATTATTTAAATTTTATAAAATTATAAAATGCGATTAATTTCATACAAAAACTCTCTTTTGTAAGTTAATAAATTTTTCTTGGGAATTATATTATTTTTGAAATCACTCGAGTCACAACACGATTTGTTAAGAATTTTTAACATACTTTTTGATGGGTTCAAGCCCGAACGAGATTGTCATTCTATCAGACTCCATTAAATTCGGGCCCTCGATAAAAAAAATCCAAATTATTTTGTCTTACTAATATTCTTTTTTTTTTAAAAAAAATTTATCACCTTAAAAAACAAAGAAGTTTCATCATGTCATTAAAAAAAAATTCTGCCTATATTCGCCCAGTCCTTAAAAACTCAAAATTGTATATTTTTAAACTCTCATAAGAGTGACACCGATCTATCATGCATCATCCTTTGTCGGCGCTTAGAATTTACCGCTTTCGTGTTGATATCTCGTATTTTTTTTTAAAAAATAGTCCAATGGGGAAAAATTTATTCCTAAAAACAAAGTTTTTGGAATGGGATTTAGATCTCTGAAAGAAAGAAAAATTTCCGATTTGGGTCACACTTTAAAAAAAAAATAAGTGCAATAAATGGCTCTATATACTGGTGTAGTTAAAAAGGTCAATATTTTAGCCAAGAGCCAGAAGGTTTCGCTCATTAGATGGCAAAAAAGGTTTGGACATCTATTACCGAAATCTCGAGGGGTTGGAGTAATATTTTTTTTAGCGAAAATATTGGTTTGGCAGTTTTAACCTCCGCTAACAAGGAAGGGTGGTATGAGCCGAAATGATATCTTTTAGATTTTATTTTCATAATAAAATTGAAAATTCCTAATTTTTGTTTCCGACACTGGTAGATACTTTTTTCAACACCTTGCCCCTAAATATGAGTTACTTTTATTTTTACACCGATGAAGAATAATTCAGGATTCAAGAATCGCTTAAAATTTAAGATGACTTAAAAAAATGTTCGAGCAATTTTGTGAAATATTTTATAATTTTTATATCTAAAAAAAAAAAACTTTCAGTTTTATTTTGTTGATCTTCAGAGATTATTTTTTTTGCTCAAATAATTTTTGTCACAAAATAAATAATAAAATTTTCGCGTGCCATATTTTATTTTTTTGTTAATTCCTGCTTTTTTAAAGTGACCACGGAATATTTTTAAACAATCGACCTCATTTTTTTTTATCGTGAATGACCAATGAGTAGTGTTGTTAAACGGTTAATTTTAGGGCCGATAAAAATGGCGCGAACTCAATATTTTATCCAGAAAAATATTACGCGGAAATCCTTTCTCCTTTCCATTCTTTCTTTTTTCACTATGTTATGCTTTAGAGGTTTCTGGACCCAATAAATTATAACTCTGCCTATCTTATATTTCATTTTTAAAAAATATATCCGGCATTACTTCTTTTGATTTTTGCCGAAAAATAAAAATTTCGCGAAAATGTCCAGATTGGCAAGAAAAAAAATTTTTTTTTTTAAAAGAAATGATAGTTTTTTAAAGTTCACATAATTTTTTTAAAAAATATATATTTTACCTAAATATATAGTATGTATATGTAGGTTCCATTTAATTTAGAAGTAAGTATACTTACATTATAAATAAGGGTATACATATTGAATTTTATTTTTCTTTAAAGTTTATAAGAATATACTTTATTACAATATGTCACATATTTATTAGCAATCACATAATAATACTATACCTAGACTGTGGTGTTGTTAAAACGGCTAACCAAATATTTTAGCCCCCCCTCCCCAAAAAAAAAAATTGTTATATAAACCTGGAAATTTTCGTACATGGCAGATAAAGGTTTAGACATCTTTATAACGAAATCTCGAGGCATGCGTAATATTCTTCTAACTAAATATCTCAATAGAAAATAGGCTAAATCGAGCTGAGAGGGGCGATCCGCTCATTTGAAAACTTATTAATTAGAGTCAGACAGTGCGGGTCCGATCCTAGAGCAGTACATCAACAAAACATGGGCCCGATCAGTGAAATATTGATGTTATATATTTTCCTACTCTCCACCCCCCCCCTCCACTTTTTTTTTTGCCTAAATTGAATATCACAAATTATAAAATGAATTTTTAAAAAAATAATAAGAAGAAGAAGAAAAGTCACAATATCATATTATTTTGTAATAAATAGAATAAAATAAATAATTATCATTTAATTTATCAAAGTTTATTTTGATGAATATTAAAATTTAATATAATAACAAATAACTTTTAAAATAGAGAATATGAAAAATATTCCCTGTGGGCCGCTGGCGGGCTCGGATCAAAATTTTTTTTGATTTGGAGGTTTCTGTTATCAATATAAATCAGCTAGTGACACGTTTGGCTTCTGGTATAAATAATTTCCTTTTCATATTCCTAAATGTGGGAAACCAAAATGGCGTGCCACCAGCTCTGATTTGTATTCAACGACGCTTCGAAATACCATCTTTTACTAAATCGTCATGGTCTAAGTAAGTAATACGGTGCAAAAAAATTTGATTCGACCGGGATAAACCGGCGATTCCGGTTCAATAAATCAGAGGTCACACCACTAAATAAAGATGGCAGTCATGCCCTGTGAGGTTATTGGGTAAATACGATTATTTAGTGAACGCTATGTTACAACAGTTGATTTATTTAAAATTTATATTCGTCCGCTTGTAATCACATGAACTGTCAGATTTGACAAGTTACCCAATATGTAAATGATTAAATTGTACCAAAATACCAATTTTTTAATACACCTAAACCCCATCCTACATATCTCTAACCTAAAATTCCTACTCCTAGGCTTCGGATACTTGATAAATTTTAAATGTATTTCATCCAATAAGAAAAAAAAGAAGTAATTAATGTTTTTCAGTTTGAACATTCCTCGCGTTAAAACTTATTATCAATTAAATTACATTTAAAAAATAAAATAGTTGTATCAAAAAAGAAAAATAAGAGAAATAACATATTCCTATTCTTTGTATACGAATAAATAAAATTTTACGCTGGTTGATCATAAGAAAGAAGAAATAAGAATTCGAAATTTAATATAGGTGAGGGGTAATAGGGAATAATCCCATTTTACATAAATTGCATTTAATTAAATTGTATATTAATGATATATATATAATATATACATGACCTAATAAATTAATTGATTTTTCACGAGTTCAAATTATGATGGATCAAGCTATTCTTCATTTACTTATAAAAAAATATTATAATATTATTATATTACTAATATAATTACGAATAACTTAAACGAGTGTTAAAAAATTCATCCGAAGGCGAAAATTTAAGGAAAAATAGCGTAAAATATTATTATTGTGAGGGAAGGGAAGGAGGGATATAAATTCCCACGTATAAGATGTATCCTCTTAATTAGGAATGTATCGTTTTTAAAAAAAAATAAATAAAATAAATATTGCATCAGTCAGGCAGTTCAAACCCCTCTCCCTAAGCCAATGACGACATTACCTTCCTTACCAATTTGGTTAAATCATATTTCATACTACCTCCCCCATCCCAGTTCTTGCGTCATAACCCCTCTCCCTCCAATAATGGTATAAGTATAAGTTCCTCGTGGTAAGATATTGATGATAAAATATTTGATCATCAAAAAAACCGGTCTATCTCACGTCAAAAGAAAAACCTAAAATTTACGTTTTTTTATCTTTGTTAGGCGAATAATTTTATTATTTTTTATTAATAATACCTAAATTTGTTTCGAATCCTTCTCAATAACCTATTATTACTCTTGTTGTCGTCACTCGAAACAAAATTATCGCTTCGGTAATCTCGCGCTTTACGGTCAAAGGCATCGCGATTTTCCGCGACGCTAGAAAAATGTTCGATATCGAGACGACGATCATTATGGCCGTTATTGTTAGAAACCCCGCTACGATAACCCCAAAATGGTGACTCCTCCATGAATGATTTTCGCAGGTAGAGAATCATTCGCGTAAAAAATCGTTATTTAGTTATTTTTCGCCCCCAAATTTAACAAATTCGAAGAAAGGTCCAATATAATTTTGATAGAATAATTATCTTCCTATTTTTTTTTTCTGGGCCAAGTTCATTTGATAGAAAAAAAACTGATTGAGGAGAGAAAACTCCGATTTCGTTATCTAAAACATAGCGAAAAATTGTCTATAGGAAGATTAGGGTTGTCTGTCCCCCTTTCAAGATCAAATAAATTATTTTAATATTTAAAAAAAATTAATTTTTTTAAATTTTATAAAAGAATTTCATTAAATATAATTTTTAAATGTTTTTTTTATTTTTGAAAGGTAAAGAAAAAAAATAAATATAATATTTAATTAATATTTTTAATATTCCGTAATTTAAAAAATAAAGAAAAAAAAAACATTTTACATTTAATAAAATAATTTATTTTTTTTACTTACGATAAATAGACTGTGAAAAGAAAAATTAAAATTAATTTTATTATGAAATTTTATATATTTATACGCGAACGCGCTGTGTAAAAATAAATATAAAAATCGGCACGCTTTGAACTACCTCCAATACGAATCGAATATTTGAATTTAGTTCGTTATTTTCGGAAAAAAAGTTTTAAAAAAAAAATTCACAAAAATTCCGCAAAGAAAATGTTAAAATACTTTATAATAATAATCTCAAATATTTATGAATAATTTTAAAATATATATATAATAAATATACAAATAAATTTGGAATATTTAAGGAATAACTTGAAATATTTATAAAAAATTATTCAAATATTCTGAAAGTTTAAAAACAATTCGATATTACTGATTACTGAATCTTATTGCATATATATATTCCAATTTACATTTATTTATCACATTCACAGAAAGAAAGAAATTCTACAAATTTATTTCAGTAATTAAGATCGATTTTAAATTTTCCTTGGCGTTATATTTATCTACCATGTTATAATTTCACACATCATTTGAAACTTTTTCACAGCAAAACTTAAGTAAAATGTTTCAAAAAATGA